TTAGGGGCTTAATCGTTCAAAATATGAATGTTCATTGGGTTTTTTTCCCCATTTTTTTCACTATTTTGCCACTTTAACTAGTTGTACAAGTCATAAGAATGTATCCAACATGTTTTATAAAAGTTCAAGAAGTTATTTAACATGTTTTGGATTGTTCAAGAACTTATTTGTTTCAAAAATTGTCCAAAGACTTATTTAACATTTTTTGGAATGTCCAAGGACTTATTTGTTCCAAAAATTGTCCAAGGAGTTATTTAACATTTTTTGGAATGTCCAAGGACTTATTTGTTCCAAAAATTGTCCAAGGACTTATTTAACATATTTTGGAATGTCAATGACTTATTTGTTCCAAAAAATTGTCCAATGACTTATTTAACGTGTTTTGGAATGTCCAATGACTTATTTGTTCCAAAAAAAAAAGTCTAAAGACTTAATCATTCCAAACAAGAAAGTCCATTGGTTTTTATTATACTTTTCTCATTTGATCTCCTAGCAATTTCTATACAAAGTTTACCAAAATAGCTCTACGTCAGTGATTTTAGAAAAAATTATAGACTAAAAATGTAAATTTTCCACAGATTTGGGTGAAAAATGTAAATTTTTTTGCAGACAGGGATATAAAGTTTAAAAAATTGTCATCCAGCTAGTTGAGGACATGGAGTTTTGCAAACATATGGCTATTTTGGTAAACTCGAAGAGAAAATGACTATTTTAATAAATTACCGTATATTTTATTTTTAGTTTTTGTTTAAAAAAATTGGATTCTGATGAAAAGAAGAGTTAAGGTCAGAAGTGTAAAAATTGATCTCCACCCTTGGATGCACATTAGGATTAGATGCATCAGATCAATCTCTGTATCAAACGAGATTTATAGATGAATTTGAGATTAAAGGTGATCAATGGTCTATATTTCTTTTTTTACGTTTCAGATCTTAATTCTTTTTTCTTGTATAATCATTTGTCTTGTTTAAAATGTATTTAAAAATAATAAAAAGAAATAATTTTTCTGTAGAAGCCTTTTGGGTCCGTATTAACTTTTTGTCTTAAGTAGGATCCTGTCATCCAATACTCGATCTGATCTCTATCTCGTTTCATGTAGAAACAAACAGATGAGGCCAAATCGATACGTAATACATTTTTAAACGAAACTCATACGACAAAACAATTGATTAATCAATTAGACTTTTAGATCTAATCTTATTTCATTAATAAATAAATCAATTTTAGACATGAAAAAGATTTATTATTTAAATTTTAAATGAGAATGCAGTTCAAGACTTAGATTGAGGTTCTGAATCATTGTTTAGATTGATATTTATATTTTGAAGAATTAGGGGCCGTTTACCAAACGTTTATCCGGGTAAGTGTTTACCAAGTAACATTATCTTATCAAATGAATATAGTAAGAACCAATAATCTTACCCGGTAAGAGCGAGACAAGGATCAAGAGTCTTACCCGGTAAATGAGGGCAACGACTCTTACCACGGTAATCCTTGTGGAATGATGATTATTTGTCTGAGAATATTTTAGGATTGGAGTTATTATCCTTGGGTATTAAATTTTCGTGGTGCGGTAGTTTACTCAATGTTTATGCTAAACATTTAACACTTTAATTTAATTTCTCATATAAAATTTTAGTCTATTAAAATAATTTTATATGTAATAATTTTTAGACAAATGCTTATTGGATAAGTCATTACCCTCACTTACTGGGTAAAACTTTTGACATTTGTCATTACTCTTATCAGGTATAATTCTCAATCATTGTTATGTTCATCCAGTAAAGTAAAATGATCAAGTAAACACTTATCAGGTAACTATTTAATAAACTGCCTCTTAGTTTCATTTGTGAATTCAAACTCGATACACAAGTAACAACCATTAAATAAAATGTCCTATAAACCAATCTTTTTATAGGACCACTTGTTTTTATAGAACATTTATCAAATAGTATCCTATAAAATAGCTAATACGACGCTTTGTATTAAAAGTGTCTTAAAAAACTTGTTAAGACACTCAAAAGCATCCTATAAACTTGTTAAGACAGTCAAAAACATCCTATAAACTTATTACAACGTTTTCATATAAGACCCTTTTATTTTTGGGTTCTATTAATTAAGTATTATAAAGCAATCTATTAGGATGCTTTGAAATTGATGACGTTCTATAAACCAAATTTTGTTTTAATGTTCTATTGTTACATCTATCTGTGTTCCTAAATACATCAATTCTATATCTATATTACGTATGTATTTTTCCCTCCCATTTTATCCTTGTTCAGATACTGCTCCTTTACAAATTTTGGCAAAATATGACAAAATGAAAAGATCAGATTGAATTCATAACAATTTAAACTATCAACGATTGAGATGGATGGGTCGGGTCGGGTCGCCCCTTTTTCCATTTTCTCAAAAAAAATAACATAAAGTCAAATAAAATTATTTGATTATAAATAATAGAGGGAAAATATTAAACTATTTTTCATTGATAATAATTAGAATGATTGCTCTATGAATTTAACACTCAACATGCATAGACAAGAATTGCAAACATACAAAATTTATAATAATCCAGTTTTTAAAAAATTTAAATAAAAAATGAAACAGTTTCTTTTATTGATTATTGCTTAATATCTCAGATCATACATCTTCTAAATGTTGGTGATTTGTATCAGTAATATTATTTAAGTGTAATGAGGTTAATTTGTTGATCAATGTAATCATGATAAATATCGAACAAATAAGGAAGGTGTGGAGTGCAACTTGTTTGAGTTTATTTTGATTTAGGGGTGAAACCCCTAAACGACGAGGGTCCAGGGGCAGCGCCCCCGGTGGCGGGTCAAAGGGGAGGCAGCCCCTGGGGGGGGGGGGGTTCCAAATTTTAGACCTGGTTTAGGGTTCTGAAACTGCCGTTTGACAACTTTCGAATTCATTTTTTCGTATTGGTCATTTGTTTTTCTAGGATACCCAGATTCATAACAATTGATTCTCTGTTCGAAAACCATTGAATTTTATCCGATTGAAATTTCGATTGTATAATCGAAATACTTCAATCTGAAAGTGTTACACGACTTTCAGTGGAATCCAAGCAATCGAAAACTAGAATTTCTAACACTAAATACAATGGCGAACCTAGGAATTCAAAAAACACTTTTATCAGAATATATATATATATATATATATTTATTTATTTATTTATTTATACGGACCAAATACTTGATCAACAAAATGAGGAAAAAAAAAATTCTAAATTATTTCTTGGCATTCGAAAGATATTGTTCGATTACTTTCATTTATTGTTCTTTGATTTTATTTCATTACAACTTATTGTTTGATTACCAATCAGGGACTGTAAACAGTTACATACTTTGTATATTTGATATCGTTTTTGTAAACTCTGTATATTTGACATCAAATTATCAATTCATGGTTCTTTTTTTGTTTATCTTTTAATATGAATTTAAATTGTCAATAAATTAATCATTATTAGTCAACACACTGACATAAATACAACACACACACACACACACACATATATATATATATATATAGAGAGAGAGAGAGAGAGAGAGAGAGAGCGAGATTTCTCGCCTTAAGTCACACCTTGGAAAACGTCATGGCCTCGCCATAACTCGTAAAGCTTGAGAGGCTTGACCTCGCCACCACACTACGTCTCACGCCATTAGAACCTTGGGTGCAGCAGTGGACCCAAGAATTTCTTCGAGCGGCTGAACCATTAAGGTGGATCAACAATCCATAAAATCGCATTTTGATTTTGGGTGAAAGTCAACACGGTTTTGACCTAGATAAAAGTCGGAGACACATTTTAGACGTCTAAATTTTTATATGTTACAGTAATCAAGTGAGCAGGTGCGAAACAACCTACTCAAATCCTAATTGGTTCTCCCCTAATCTAGTGATGGGCGTACGGGAGGCAAATGTGCATAAACTCGTTAGAAACATGACTTTTGTTTGTCATTTTGTTAGGGTTGAAATGATTGGCTTACTTTTTGTGTTCTTCGTTCTTCATTCATACCCTCATCATTTGACAAAAACTTTTAGAAACCATTTTTTATGCTTAAAGTACTGTTTATTAATACATATTACTTAAAACTCGAGATTACAAGTAGATCGTGCGTAATTACAATTTATTAAAGCTCCATATCTGAATTCGTGTAACTAACTGCAGATAAACATGATCAAATACATGATACACATCTCATTTTAAATATAAAAAATCTAAAATATAATTAGGATAATTATTAAGTTCTAACAAAATACTTAATTATTATCTTTATAAAATGTTATATTATTAAACCAAAAATAAA